AACATTAGGCGCAAACCAGCCAGCCTCTCCTCTTTGAGCTTAAGGGACCTTAAGACATTAGAACTTCTCTGGGGAGTTTCGTCCTACACCGAATCCAGGCCTCGATCGCCAAGACTACCTCTCTCTCTCGCCCCCCCCCCCAGGGTTAGGTGCGACCGCCATTTTACGAGGCATTAGTACACTAAGGAAGATTCTAGAATTGCCTCACAGTTGCGAGTGCCATTTTGTGTGTTCTGGTCATAAATCTAGGACTGTCTGGATAGACTGCTCTAATTGAGATAAGATTTTGCAATCACAACAAGATTTGTGGACCCTTACCAACTTGCTGCCAAAAGATCTATTAGGCCCTGCTTGCCTAACACTCCTCACCTTAGCCTCTGCCACTCTGCATCTAGTGGTTACTTGCAGGATCTGACCATTGCCACTATTGTGAGATGTGTGTGATTTCATCACCACTTTGGCCACAGGACAGGCATACGGATTTGCCTTGGTGACGAGCGCCTTGAAGCGCCCAGCGTGAGTCCGGCTTAGCCAGTGGGCCGGCTCATGCTAATCCACATGCAGTCAGTCCCTCCACGGGGGGCAACTGACGTTTCTTGCAGAGCAAGCCACTTCCAGAGCCTCATCTGGGACACTTCTCGATCGCCATGGCAGACCTCACTGAGCTACAGTCTTTGGACACAGACATCCAATCCAGCCAAACTGATCCGGTTCCAGAAGCGCCAAAGGGAAAGGCCAAAGCAAAGTCCAAATTTGGCAGGAAGGCAAGTAAGGCAAGTGACCAATCGCACGCACAGAGCCCTGGAGAAGCAATTCTCCCAGGCCCAACGCTTGTCAGCTGGGCAAGGACATACATCTCTGCCCCCCCACCTGCAGCTCCTGAGGCAGGAGTGCAACTACTGGCTTCATCAAGGGCGTGGTCACTGGAGTGTGAGTATCAGCAGGTCTTGATTCAGACCTTTGGTCAGGGAGGACCACCCCTCTTTGGGGAGGACCTCGAACTGCCAGGCCCCTCCATGGCACCCACAGTGACATTCACACCGACTTCTGCGGGGCTTCGACCTCCGCAAGAGCCATCCTTTACCGACTAGCTGCAATCATTGATATCGCAGGCGGTAATTCAAGCCATGGCCTCATTGGGTCATCATCAAACGTCACCCATACCAAGGTCCTCATCAGCACCCACTACCTCATCACGACCTACATTCGATCGTACCGGCGTGGTCTCACCATCCCATTTACCTGAATCCAATTCTTCCAGCGCTTCGGATTATGACAAAAGTGCAGACCGATGGTCAGATTGTGAGGAGTCTCCACAAGACTTCCAGCCCATGGCAGAGCTCTTCAATACTTCTCTTTTTCCTTTCTTACTGCGCAGGGCATGTGCAGCAGGGAAGCTCTCCTTTGACCTGGTCCCCACCCCAGAGACCTCCACCGGTCAAGACATGAATCCACTGTTCTCCGAACCAGTAGTTAGGTGCCTACAAATACCCTGCCCCCCCCCCTTATTCCTGAAGAATATTCAGGGACAATGGGAATCACTGGCAGCTCAGCCATCCCAGGGAGCGGCTGAGCACAAGATTGTTGACATGGCCCAAACCTTGACAGACTTATTGGAGGTGCCCAAAGTGGATGAATCCCTAGCTCCACTTTTCTCAGCAGCCAGTCTACCAGCAGATGTCTCTGACGCCCTTAAGGCAGAAGATAAGAAATCTGAACTAGCATTACGCAAAGTTCACCAGGCATCTACATGGGCAGCGAAAGCGGCAACCTCCACCTCATTCTTCGCTAGAATTTTCCTTATCTGGCTTAGGCAGCTACAAGACAGGATTCCCCTGGAGGAGGTCAGAGTACACCAGGACCTGACCAAACTTATAGCAACCACTGAGTATATGGCAGATGTCTCCTTATACTCCACCAAACACTCAGCCCGAGCAATGGCTTCCAGCGTAGTCGCTCAGAGACTTCTCTGGCTTAAAAATTGGAGGGCCGAAAGCAAACACAAGTGGCGAGCGGCCACTGCCCCTTTCAAGGGAGGCAGATTATTTGGGGAGGCATTAACTCCGTACCTTATAGAAAACAAACAAAAGCAGAAGGTCATCTCTCATTTGACAAGGAGAGCTAACAGGCGCTTCCTCCCCTATGGCTGCCGTCAAGTCTTTTTGGACTGGTGCTACGGCAGAGACGGGGCAATCATACCGGTCTTCAGCTCCCAAAGAAGAATGTCCATTTGACAAGACGAGTTATAGGGACCAGTCCTGGTACCAGACCCAGAACAAGTCTTCGTTTCGTGGCAGAGGGAGTCATCCCTTCCGTCGCACCAAGTGACTTAGGGGGGACCCCCTCCCATTGGTGGCAGACTCGCTCTTTTCATCCGCCAATGGGAAAACACAATCACAGACTCCTGGGTTCTGCGCACCATAAGAAAAGGACTGTCCCTGGAGTTCAAATCCACGCCCATAGACCATTTTGTCTCTTGTCCAACCATGAGAAACCCAATAAAAAGAGGGCTCATGGAAGATGCCATTCGACATTTACTGAGCATCAAGGCCATAGAGGAGGTCCCCCTGAACCAGGCAGGACAAGGGTATTACTCCATCCTATTTGTAGTCCCCAAATCCTCAGGGGGATGGAGAGCAATCCTTGACCTCAAAGGTCTGAACCTCCATCTCCAGTACCGGAAGTTCAAAATGCAGATGCTCCATTCCATTTTGGGCAGTGTCAGGCGAAGAGATCTCATGACTTCAATAGATCTCACAGAGGCATATCTGCACATTCCCATCCTCCCGAAGCATCGCAAGTTTCTGCGGTTTTGTTATCTCAACCGCCACTTCCAGTATTTCATTTTTAATGTGTGCCATTGTGCCCGCAGTAAAAAATGATAATAAAATTTATCTATCATCTTTCTTTCTTTCTTTCTTTCTTTCTTTCTTTCTTTCTTTCTTTCTTTCTTTCTTTCTTTCTTTCTTTCTTTCTTTCTTTCTTTCTTTTTAACCCAGCCTTGAATCGGAGATGCCAAACTTGTTGGAAAACCCATAGTAAAGAAAGTTATATCAAAAAAGGCTTCTGAAAATTTATTACTTGTACAAATATTTGGATAGATCTTCATATGAATTTAGGAAGATAATCTTATATTTCTTCTTCTTTTGTATATCTTCATTTTGCAGCATTCAGTTTTTTTCCCTATCATTTTTTGATCATCATACCTTCTGTTGCAAAGTTTCTTGCTCCAGCCACTTTTATTGCCTTTTCTAAGGCAGATCCAAAAGTTACAAAAAGCTGAAAGCTTTTCCAGATTTCTAGATCTTATGAGAACTGATGGTAAATAAGTGCTAGGAGGGGAAGTAGAAAAAGTGGACATGTTGATGTCTTTGTACAGTATTTAAAGCAAAATGTAAGAGCAGGTTGCAGACGTTTTGCAGACATTCATATTAGGTTCTACTAGAATAGTTTCAGCTTGCTTTTAGGAGCCTCCCAATAAATGCTAGGCAGAGGAGAAAATTGTACAATGGCTGATTTCTTATTTTTTAGAATATCAAGTGGAAATATAGTGCCCATGGATTGGAATTAGACCAAACATTTGTACTTTTATTTTTTACTGTTTCCTACCCAAATGGAACTATGACAAATTATGCAAAAGGTGTCAGGCCTCTGCCCATCTGGCTGCTCATCAGCAGGAAACTCTCAAACCTGGACAGAATGGGACCAAATCTGGTGTGACAGGAGAAACCAGCAAAAGAAAGTTTGAGTTTGAAATTAAGCTGGATCCAGTCAGGGTCTGAGGAGAAAAAAAATCAGAAAAAAATCCCCACAGCATCCCTATGGGAGAGGCATTTGTGCAGCAGTTTGCAAAGCTTCTGACTGCTTCATTCTTAAACATAATGTGACCCAGAATAGATAGAGCTTGTCTTAAAGGGTTGGAGAGGTTTCCAGAAGCCATGTTTTGCCTACCTTGTTCAGAATTTCTGATTTATTGTAAAGGTAGTCAGCTTCTCAAGGTCATCACAAAACAACATCCAGCATGATTTTCAGTTCCAAGACTAGGCTGCATATAGGCTCCCTTAAGTATTCTTGGAAAATAAACATGGTGGGTGAGTAACATCCAATGATGTGTTTGATTCGGAAAAAGAAATATAAAGTAAGCTGGGGTGTTAAAAAGCATTTTGCCGGAAGAGCAGCCAAATGGGATATTGAGAAGTAAAACCTCAGCAGTTTGCCTTCTGGTAGATGTGATTTTGTGGATTATCCATGGCCACTGTGGTATGCATTTTTGGAATGCACAAATCCCTCCCCCATCGGACAGCTAATTTAGAAAAGTGCCATATCCTCAAAATGCAAATCTATCCACAGTAGCCAAACTAAGATTGTGTATCATTGTTCTAAAATACAAATTCAGCTGTTAATTTGAATGTTGTTCTGTGTGGTATATGGAAGATTCCCAGAGAACTTACAGTAGCATCCATTGGTTGTGTACATGCAGCACTCTGAACCCAGAACCACCAGGCTAACAAATTATAGTTATTATGGTCCTATAACAAGCTGTTTCTAAACAAATAAATCATATGAAGGCTTAACATGGTTGCTTAGTTTTTAATTACATTTTAACCTACTTTGGTTGGTTGTATGAATCCCATCAGTATTCCTCTTTCACCAAAGAAGAGGATTTTCTTTTCTTTCCTCAAAATATCATGCAGGTTTATTTTCATGAGCAGACACACAGAGAAATAACTTGCATCTTTCTTCTTCTTGGGAAAAAAAATACCCAGATTCACCTCCCATCCACTTTCTTATAGAATTGCTCTGGCCCTCTTCTGAGCAGCCGGCAACCGTGCTAAGGGGGCTCTAGTTATCCTTATGTGGGTTGGGTTTGTTGTTGTTGAGGGGGATGTTCTGTTGGCCCCTCCCACAAGGGGGTGGTGGCTGTTGCCTAGCAAAGAACCCAGAATACACAGAGGTGGGACTACCAGAGAACAAAGGCAGGTCTGTTAATATCTTCCTCTTTCTTCTCCTTTTCTCTCCCTTCCTGGTCCGGCTGCCTTCAGTAATAGCTTGGCCTGCTGCCAATGGGTCATGTGGCCCAAGTTGTCCCCTTTGTATCTGCAGCACCGGGGCAGACTGCTCCAACCACTGTTATGAGGTAAGTTCCATGTAGGTGCGTTGTATGTTGGATTGTCTTTTCTTTGAAGTGTAGATGAATCAGTCAGCCTGGATAGTTTGAATTGGATAGTTGCTATGTGTTTCTCACTGAACCAGGCAATGGCTTGGCAGAGGAAAATAATCAGAATTGTTTGTGATTTTAGTAACAACGAATAGAAGGCTTGGTGAGACTGAGCAACACTTTTCCCTGCAGTGTCTATAATCCTCTCCTTTGAATCTTCATTTGCAAACTTTATTTGCACAGCTAGATAAAATTCATATGTTGTATTGTGTGATTGTGAAAGTTTACCAGCTTTTATTTGTTGAATGGTATGTTTCCGGCTTGTTATCCTTGCGTCACTCTTCTTCCAGCTTGCTTTAGATTTCAAGTATATATAAATAGAGTTAAATATGCTCTCACGTGGATAATAATTTTAAAAAACCCTTTATTTCGTAGTAATACCTAGCAATTATATTTTTCAAAGATGTTCATAAAGATGCCTGCTAATGATAGAGTCTAGATTGGAAGTAGAATCATTTTATTTTTAAGCATGTTGAACAATTAACTATCACAAATCCTAACACTAAACCTTTGCTTCCAAATCTCTCCCTCTTCAGTGAGTAATATCCCTGCTTCTTTTTGGCTGTGGTATAAGGATCAAGACCACCACCACCACTACTACTATTCCTCTTCCTCCCTTTTCTTCTCTAAATTGTACTTCTATTTACTTAACCTCAGAAAGTTTCTCTAATGTAGAGACTGCAAACAAAAAGAAAAAAAAATTCCCGGTACTTTCTATTACTTTACTGGAAACATTCATTCCTGTTTGTTCATTCTGGATCTCTAATCACTGGGAAGAAAGTCTAATTCCTTATAGTTTCTCCTATGTTTTTAAATGACAGTTAAATCAGCCTTCTGGATTCCTGGGGTTATGGGGGCGGTGAGAAAATGTCAGTTTTGATGTAACTGCCATCTTTACCTCCATCTGCTCTTCCCAGTAACATGCTGTGCACCATTATTGCCATTTTGCACATTCTGCAAGGATGTGCAGTCTTCAGGTATGGTGGGAATTTTCTTTGTTTCCACTTTTCAAATGAAAAGATTAAATGGGAATAAGATCTTTATTCAAATACCACTTTGTTGGTTTAATCTTTCAGAATCTATTGTCTAAGTAACCTGTGGTCTTTACTAATCCCTTTATTTTTTCTTCCTAAATGGAGGTAATACTGAAAGATTATGTCCACTATGGTGTACCCCAGGGAGGAGAAAATGGACAAGCTAAGCCAAGAAGAGATTATCTCCAACACCAAGCTGGTGATGCAAGGGCTAGAGGCCCTTAAAAATGAGCATAATTCAATCTTGCACAGCCTACTGGAGACTATCAAGTGTCTGAAGAAGGATGAAGAAGCCAACTTAGTACATGAGAAAGCCAACCTGCTGCGCAAGTCAGTGGAGATGATTGAGCTGGGACTTGGAGAAGCTCAGGTGAACTACAGTTTGTAGATGAATCAAAAAAAGCAACCAAATATAGACAATCAAACATAAGGATTCTAATGTACTGTCTAGAACAGGCATGCTTACTAAGTAAACATGGTTATGTGCATATCTTTTGTTTATGAAGTGCAGAATAGTGAAACTACCAGGCACAGAACACATTGGTAAATACTGTATTTTCTGAATGCTGGTTTGCAGTTTTATGATTGTATGGATGGGATTGAAATTGAATAGGTGTATGGATAGAATTGAGACCTGTATATAGTAATCAATACTTGGTTATGAGCGGAGAGGACTTAAACTTTGAGTTTCCACTTTTTGTCCATCCGTCTAAGCATTGGCTTTTTTTTCTCTTTTGATTTAGGAAAAATGGGATTAATTGTTCAAAATAGCAAATATATGTATCTATTCAAATTAAGGACATCAGTATATCGGGTTTAGCCTTTGCAAATGTTTATAATGCAGGGCATACAAAGCTGATATGAATGAGATGAAGTATCCAATCATATTTGTTGTTCCTTTTCCTCCTTTCTGGCAACATTCTTTTTCTCTTTTTCCAAACAAAAAAAAATTAAAATGAAACAAGCATCTAAGATAGTTTATATTACACAACACTGGGTTATGGTCCAAACTCATTATTTTGCAGTGTTTAAAAACCAATTCTCTGTACAATTCTACCTTTGGCTTGTTCCAAGGCCATAAGAAATATGCTTACTAATTTTCCTACAAGTCTTGGAATTCTGTTTGGTGATATGTATGTTTTCTTTTCCTCAAGAGAGACATTTCTCCTTTTTTCTCTTGAACCAGGTCATGATGGCACTGTCAAACCACCTGAATGCCGTTGAGTCTGAAAAGCAGAAATTGCGGGCCCAGGTGCGCAGGCTATGCCAGGAGAACCAGTGGCTACGAGATGAACTAGCAAATACTCAGCAGAAGTTGCAACGCAGTGAGCAAACTGTGGCACAGCTTGAAGAAGAAAAGAAACATTTGGAATTCATGAACCAGCTGAAGAAATATGATGAAGATGTATCCCCATCGGTGAGAATCTATGGGATAGAGCATCTGTGTTTACTGAAAATTTCTGCATACAAAATAAGCTAGTAATAACTTTCTCAGAGTTCCTAGTAAAACTACTTTGAGTTTGCCTCTACTGGGTATGACAGGCACAGGTTTACCTACCCTTGAAATTATTATCTTGAATTATCTTCCTGGGAAAAAGAATATTGTATCATTTGCATCAATGTTGGGCATAAAAACTTTGCAGTACTAGTGCATAATGATCTCTCTCTACCCCTTTCTCTTGGTGCTTTTCTATATTAACATTTCAGGAAGAGAAAGAAGGTGATTCTACAAAGGATTCTTTGGATGACTTGTTTCCAAATGAGGAAGAGGATCAGGGACAAGGATGTAAGTTTCATTCTTTCACTCTTCCTTTGGGGAGAGCAGACACAAATACTGTATGAACTGCTTTTGAGCTTGACTTCCTCCAAATATTCCATTTGGCTGAAAAATTAAGGATACAAAGAAGTGACCATTCTTATTGGTATAAATAAACGATAATATAGCATTGCATGCTGTGCCTCTTTATTTATTAATGTGATATGTATTTGCAGTACCTCATCAACACAGCAGTGCTGTAGCAGCTGCTCAGCAAGGTGGTTATGAGATCCCAGCACGCTTGCGTACACTACACAATCTGGTGATCCAGTATGCATCACAGGGACGCTACGAGGTGGCTGTGCCTCTTTGCAAGCAAGCCCTGGAGGACTTGGAGAAGACTTCAGGACACGATCACCCTGATGTAGCCACCATGCTCAACATCTTGGCCTTAGTATATAGGTGAGGAATAGAGAGGTAGAAGGTACTTGCTTTTTGTGGAGATGGAACAGCATCTCAGGAACAGAAATGGAAGAGGGAGCATGAGGGAGGTCAGTGTAGTCAACCTGTATTGTGGCAACTCTATTAAGATGGGATGTTATGTCTGTGCAATGTAATCTCCCTATGTTTGTGTCATGTTTATATAAATTGTTGTCCCTCTATTTTAAACAGTATCTGCATCTAACATTTTGTTGCAGGGATCAAAATAAATATAAAGAAGCAGCTCACCTGTTAAATGATGCATTGTCTATTAGAGAGAAAACTCTTGGTAAAGATCATCCCGCAGTAAGTGGCTATTATTTCTTTCACTTCAAGGAGGATCCAAATATATAGAAATTGAAAAGTAATTGTGTCATTGCCTGGTCAAGTCTTCTGATTCCCAGGCTAATCCAGATTTTATCCATGGTAACTGAGGATGATCAGAATAATATATCTGGAGGGCACTAGATTGAAGAAAGCTGCTTCTGCACATGCAGATAAAATAGACCTAATAAATAAACCACAGGAAGGGAATCTGGCCAACCACTAATGGAGTATATATGACTATAAGAGGCATTAATGAAGAGGTACAGTATTAAGAAAGAACAAAGGACAAATGAAAAAATATCTTTTGACTTTTCACTGAGATGGAGCAAACTGAATCAAAAGTCTACCTGTCTACATCTTTGTTTCCTAAACTGTAAGGCAACATTAGGCAAATAGCTTTATAAGGAAATCAAAGCATGTGATTACAGTAGTGACAGTTGGGCCCGAATTTATAATTGTTTTATATTCAAAATAACAATACATATGTTGCTTTACAAATTGTTGGCAAAAAATACGTGGCTGAATAGAGCAACATGATTTCTTGAAATAATATCCTGCTGAGAAATGGTGACACAATTAGGGTTCTGTTTCAGATATCCAGTTACTGTTAATGTTAATGCTGTCAGCTATAACAAATTGGCTCTCTAAGGAGTATCATTTTTTTATGTCCAGTATTTGTGTGTATGTGTGTGTGTGTTTTGATTCTTCATTAGTTTTGGTGCAATTCTTTCCACATCTCTGTGCAGGTTGCTGCAACCCTAAATAATCTAGCCGTTCTATATGGCAAAAGAGGGAAATACAAGGAGGCAGAACCATTATGCAAGCGGGCACTGGAAATCCGGGAAAAGGTATTTTTGTCTTTCAGAAGCTTGAAGGAGGAGGGTTTAGGCTATGGGAGTGAACGTATACAACAACTCTCACTGCTGGCAATTCCTACAATAGATGCCTGTTTCAGAAAAGAAATATATTTTTGATGAATTGTACCCATAATGAGTCTAATATGAATACAATATGAAGCCATGTATACAAAATTCAAGTTTCTAATCGTATTTTTGATACAGTTTTCCCAGGAAAAGAAAGGTTTTGCAGAATTCCCAGAATTTTATAAACTATTCTTATCTGCTTCGTTTTCAGGTTCTAGGCAAAGATCACCCAGATGTGGCCAAACAGTTAAATAACTTGGCTTTACTATGCCAGAATCAGGGCAAGTATGAAGAAGTAGAATATTACTATCGCCGAGCACTGGAGATCTACGAATCCCGCCTAGGGCCTGATGATCCAAATGTTGCTAAAACAAAGAACAATCTGGTGGGTCTCTTTGTTGATGTGAGAACAACGGAGGCAAATGATTATCTCAGATGAGGGGTGACTGGCTATGGAATGTGTTTTTGCTACTTTTATAACAAATAAAATACTTTTATATCCCTTGTACTCTACTAGGCCTCCTGCTACCTGAAACAAGGCAAATACAAGGATGCCGAGACCCTGTACAAGGAAATTCTCACCCGTGCCCATGTGAAGGAATTCGGCACAGTTGATGGTATGTACGTCAAAGAAGAAGAGGGCAACATGTGCAAAGAGACCAAGTCTTAGAAGGAGATCGAACCCCTTGAATGTTAATTGTGAAGGTTTCTCAAACGTTCCATAATTGTTAGGACAGATGTAATGCAGGAAAGAGAACTTCTTGGCAGAAAGTAGGAAAAGTACACTATTCATAAGTAAATGAACTACTGATCTGTCTTGTTTTTTGTACATGGAAATAGCACTCTATCTCTGGATAGGATCAAGAGCCTATTTTTCTTTTGGACACATTTTGATAAGTAAATGATACACAATCTGTAAAGATTTTTAATTAGCGGTGAAGTACACTGTCTAATCTCTTGTAGTTTGCTTATCAAGTCTTTGCTTATTTGTTTACAAACAAGGGGAAAGGGATATAAAAGCCAGTATAGCGGACCTTCCTCTGAAACTACCATTAGGAGGCATATAGAGACCTTTCCCATCTTCTTATCTTTTCTCTACAGATGAACACAAGCCTATATGGATGCATGCAGAAGAAAGGGAGAAAATGAGCAAGGTGAGGATGAGAGCAGTGCTCTCACAGGCATTGCAGTGCCAGCCTAAACCATCAAGTAGCTGAAGGAACTCCTGAAGGACAATTGGGAATAATTTTAGATTAGAAAAAAATTAACTGAAAAGAAGGACACAATCGTATAGTAAAATGATGTATAGTGTAGAGAGAGATATAAAAACCCTCTCTCAAAGCCCAGGGTTATGCATTTAAGCTGAATAGGTACAAGATGGATAAAAATAATCACTTCTTCCTATTGTAACCTTGCTGCTAAGAGTCCCAGTTCCAGTGGGACAGTAGAACTTTTTCTTCAAAATTGGGTCATATGTATGCCTTTTGTCAGTTTTAGTTGATATGCCCACTGCATACCTTCCTGGGAAAAAACTAGCTTAGCGGTCAAATTGATCTATGAAAGAACTCACGAAGATACCATATTAGCCTTGTGTCAGAAGCGTTGCACAGACTTTCAGTTTATTTCCAAGTGAAATGTGAAATGCCAGCTGTTTTTAGACCTTTATCACTTGGGTCTAGGCTAGTGAGAACGCTTCTTTTCTATAGGATTCCCCATCCTTCAAGAAATCATCAGTTGTCGAATTGTGTGTTTGATGGTTAAATCTTTGGATTCCAGGTCTTTGAAATGTACTGCCTGATGAGTAGAAGAATATATCATTTTTGTTTTTCTTTGAAAAAGGTCTCAAACCTATATTTTTTCAAACATGTAAAAATGTATATTCAATAATTAAATATAAGCTAGAGTATCATAAAATAGAGTATAGATAATCAGCAAATAGGATGGTTTTGAAAAGGTTGTACAAATTTATAGAGAATGTAATCATTAATATTAATAGATATCAGTTATTTTCAGGATCAGAGCCAATAGGCCTCAGAACCAGTTCTTGGTAAGCAAAAATATAAAGAAGGAATTCTTCTTTCCCTTTTATGAAGGTATTCTCATAGGCATGAGATTGTGGGAACTAGATACTGTGCTATTCAAACCTTTGATCTGAATGAAGACAGTTTTTCCTATGTTTTTCAAGGTTCTGTGATGTGAACTGGAAGTGTTTGTCCTATTCTTCCCATGTCTTGCATATTTTCTCTTTGTTGTAGTGGATTCCTTAGGACATACTGGAAAATGGACGATGGAGGGATGTCAGCAGGTTCTGGGCCACAGACATTTCGGAACCAGAATGATAAAGCTTGCTGTTTTGAAGGGCCATCTTTAAACTTCTTAGATTTAGAAAATTTAATTATTAATAGTTCCCTAGATTGGGAGGAGAGAAAGTTAAGTTGAAAAGCCTCTGCGCACTAGAGCTACACAAATCCAAAGTCCTTGGCTTTGAGCTTCTGCACCTCACTCTTGGAAAATGGTCCATTACTATGAATAGAATAGAAATTTGGTAAACTTCTGGGACATTTTGAACTAATGTGCTGAATACATCATAGCTGTTTGCAAAGATGGCTTCGTTCTCTGTTTTGTCTTGTGAAAGCTGTTGGAATTTTTATTTTATTAACGTAAGCTAGTGACTGATAACTGCTTCCAGCAGTAGAGAAAAATAGATATCTATTTCCTGGATTTTAGTACTTTATAGTATTTAGTTTCCCAAATCATTGCTATGATTGCTAGGCAGAATTAGCACTGCTTATCTTATTGCTACCTATTTGCCTTTCTGCACAATGTCTTTCTGTGAAATAGGTGGTTTAACAGGGGTGAAAAGGACTACATATGAATGTGCATGCATGTACTAAGTGGTACTAGTTAAAATATGTCAGCTGTTCTTGATTTCTGCCTATTAGTGCATTGTTACTTAAGTCATTGGTTGCATTTGTTAACTTGGACACATCCCATCTACTGACTTGGATACAAAAGCTGACTGTACCCATAGGATCATGCTGAGAAGTCTCTGAAATTAAGAACTCTTCGTGAAAGACTGTTAGTTTTTTATTGGTTTTCCCTGAATTTTGAGTGGAAAAAGACCTGACTCTTCATCTCTGGCATGTGTGAGGATTTTCCTGATACCAAAAATGATACCATTAAATCAGAAATCTTCTGAGTTCAAGAGATTGGTTTGGACTCCTTTGATTGTGTTGTGTGATTTTATGTATTTGTCATTTTGTAGTAGCAAGCATCAATTTACCTTCTAATCATTTTAATATCAGGTACTTTTGTTTCTACCAAACTTTTATGTCATAATTTTCAAACTAATAGAAAAAGATGCCTACATGAAACATGATATTGACACCTTCTTCTTGAATACAGCTAATGGGATTTGCAATGGTATGTCATCCCAAAAGCAAACTGGATAATTTGATAAGGAGAGGAAAAGGCAAGGCAGCTGTTATGAGTGCAAAAGGTGTATGTATAAACAGCAGACTCGCTGATCGTCAAAAGTGAATTTAGGTTCTCATTTGTTGAAGCTTAGTAAAATGCCAAATGAATCAATCTTTGGGAAGAATGAAACAGATGAAAAATATTTAACAAATAAATAAATCAGTTAGATTTATGATTTTCAAGTATTTATCTTGCTAGAAAATATTTCTGAGAAATATTTAAGAAAACCTAGACAAGGAAACGCAAAGTATTCAGAGTTTAATATCCATCCATTTGTCTATGTAAATTAGTATCCCAATGTGATGCAAACAATAAACATTCCATCTAATAACTTTTTCTTTAACAGCTAAGTTATATCACTTTTTCTTAAACACAGAAGTGAGCTGGAGCACTTCAGCATGACAACACAAAAGATATTTCCAAGCAGTGGAAAGAAATTAGATTATATGTTATTACTGGAATAATAGAGTATTATTTTAGTAATGTATTTATTCAGTTTCCATTGTCTTGAATGTCTTCTCCCACTAGACTACTTGATTTTTTTTTGTATTTCATGTTATTAAAGGGCATAAAAACCATTTTACTAGAACATTGCTTTTGTCACAATCTATATAGCCTAATGATGTCATAAATATGATGCTGTCCCAAATAGAACTAAATTCTATCTTACACATGGAATTTATTTCCACATAAGTGTGAAAGAATTAGATTTCTTTTCATTCCCTATGGGAAATTTGGGGATTGTAAAAATAGAATGAAGATAGCTAGTTACCATTCCTGTTGGGATGTTACATAAATAAACCTTGTGGGTTTTTCAAATTACATTTTATTAAGCTTTTTAAAGAGGAAAACAGAAAAAAAGGAGTAAATAAACATGTAGTGAATAAACAGAATTTGCAAGTATTGTAGTATTAGATTATCTTTTTCAAAATGTCATTTATTGGTTTTAAATAACTGAATATATTGTTTGGAAAATAAGTCGTTTTATAATCCAACAATGTATCAACAGTAGTGGTCAGCACAGTGTACATCATAAAGCTGAAATAAAAAATTACAATAAACTTTATCTAAGGCTACTGAAGATCTGTTCTAAGAACTTAGAGTTAGAATTTGAAATTTCAGATAGGGCACAGTATAGAATTATACTTAGAGCAGTTTCCAATTTGAAGGAAATTTGCAGATTTATTTTTGAAATTACAAATATATTTTGGACATTGAAGCTTACTCTCACAACTTAATTAGCCATTCTGCAGAAGAAATAGTATTTTCTAATCAGAAGTATAGACTATTGCAGCACTTACATGTACAATGTTACTTTTGAATATTTTGGGGAAATACAAGGTTAATAATACTTAATTTAAAAAATATAAGATAGGTTGAAAGGAAATTCAACTTCTAGATTTTTTTTAGAATTTGTTTCATTCTGGTATAAATTATTCACCAAAATTGTTGCGCTTTCAACATAGCCACCAAATATGAAAAAAAATCAACTGACCTGGCTGTTAAATTTCCAATAATTTTTAAAGAATGAACTATCTATTTTAGTAATCAAGACTAGAGTTTTGTAGCAGAGGTAAAATGCCCTAATACCAATTTTTTAAAGTATAGTATTCAGTGTAAACTTACTGTAGTTTTTCCCACTGGAATTCCCATTGTTATATATGAATTACTGTATCTAGATTCTGCATTCATTTAATCATACAGTCTTTAATTTGCTCCAGTTCTAAGTCATACATAAAAAAACCTTTTTGGAAATAGCTGTAATCATTACATTTATAATCTTGGAAGATTGTTGGTATTGTGAAGCCACTGAGATGGAGAACAGAAATCAACTGAGGAGAAAAATTACCTGTATTGCAAAAATATATGGATGTCAGCTCCTTGCTCTCTCTGTGCAATGTTCTAACCTTGTGTTCCAAGTCAGCAATGAATAAGGCTGAGTATTGTTCATAACCATAGTTCTTTTTCCTCAAATTCCTTTCCTTCAAATCTATCCTGGAAATGTCCTAATAGCATATATTGAGCTGCAAATATATTTTGGTATCCTATACAATACTGCTTGGCCTACACAGGAGTGGCTGAAAATCAAGTTACTTTATATGGGAAAGATGCGAGAACTTATTTAAATTGTGTGTACATAAAAATATGAATATGTTATACATCAAAATAAAATATTTGATTCTGGATGAATGATTTTGCCTGTCCTGAAAACTCAGCAGCAAAATGAAACAAGTTAATTGCAGGCTTTAAATGAGAATAAAACATGATACAATAATTCCACTCTTCATTAAATATTTTTTTTCCTATCAAGTGGGAGGACGTATTATGAACTACTTGGGTTCTGTTCCTGTTGGGCTTGTAACAGGATTCAAAAATGGAATCTGACATCTAGGCTTCCTGGCAAAACCTGATTACCTTTTCATAATACATGCATGTCAGAGTACATATATTACATAACTTCCAAATCCAGTCCCTAGGAACTCCATGCAGGACATCCTGAACAACTGTAGTCAATAACTGAGCTAGATACAGTAGAACTATATGGCAACTATCTGTGTTTCTAACTTATCTGCCCAATACATTTGATATTTCAGTGTTAACTTTTAATAGCTTTAGAATCATCTAGTTATTAGGGAATTGCCTTGCCTGAGGGCATTTTGAAAATCAAAGTTGTATGCTATGGAATTGATGACTGAGCTGGAGTCCTTTCAGAAAAAGCTAAGGATAGAAAAAATTTCAGTCATAATTTCAATAGAAAGTTGCATGACAGGATTCTTATGCACAGAGTTCACACTTATATGAAGCTGTGTTTTTAACCTACAATCCCACAAGTTTCTCGAGCAACTGTATGAGCAGAAAATATTCTCATCAAACATTTTATATACATTTAATAAATGTTTTATATGAAGAAGCTGAGAGAACTATCTTTATCAATTTATGTCACACAATTTACTAATTTAAGGGGGGGGACTTTTGTTAGACCATATTTCTGCTCTCAAATGCACTCCTATAATATATGAGCTTAATGATCAAATTCTTTGCCATACCTATTTTTAACTTTGTAGGTCTGTTTTCATCATTGGAATTTTGCTACAAATCAATATTTGTAGTATCTCAGGAAATTTGGGGGAAATTTAAATCCTGCCATTCTGACCTCTGAAAAATGGAGAATTCTTTCATACCATTTGGCATTAAGATGCCTAGGAGCTCTTGCTGTGGAGCACTAAGCATATCGGGAAGATGTTCCTTATCTACTTGGTCAAGTCATATTTTAGGAGAACTAACCTGCAAATAACCTTTTTCTTCTTAGGTTAAGATGGAGCCCATCCTTGGGTCATATTTATACTATCATGCTTGTATGAGTCTATTGATGTGATCCCCAACCTGATTTCTTTCATATGTATCAGAGCTCAGTTCCCTTAATTGCTGCCCGTGCTGGCTTTGGATTATGAAAGGTGAAGTCTAGCACAGCAGAAGGCTCTAGAAAAACAAAGATTTCTCCTCATAGTTGGAAAATTAGAGGATCCTATATTTCTACCGAGTGTTAAACAAGTGCATTATTGTTTTTATTTTTCCCATGCATGCAGAAAGAGAAACAGAAATGCTTGCTCTTGACTTTGATGATTGTTCTGAGAAATCTTTCCCTGTTGCCAAATTCTTTTCCAGAGTAAACATGGAGAAAACATCCCTTATGCAGAGTACGGTGGCTGGTACAAGGCCTGCAAGGTCAGCAGGTAAGGCATGGTATTTGCTTATGTTTCTAAACCTTTTATGTTATTCTATTTCTGGTTGTAGAGGTTACAGAGTCCTTTGTGAGTTCCACGTTTGTTCACCAAAGGAATGTGGAAAGGTGACAAGAAATATGAAGGTGGGGAAAAATATTTATAGGTTCATGAGGATGGGAATGCTGTATATGATTTGTCTGCAAATGCTTGGAGGGGGGAATGACAAAGGGTGCCCAGGAAAGCTGCTTTATAGAGCAGCCTTTGTCCTCACCACAGTCCTCCCCCCTCCCCTTTCAGATGCTGCCTGTCTGGTATATATCCTCTCTGATGTGCATGCATGCATTTAAATCCTGATACAGAGCAGTGGGGGGAGGGGGGAGAAGATGAACTGCTTTGTAAGGCCATTTGAATCAGAGAATCCTGGGTTCAAAAGGAGTGCAATCTCTCCTCCTTAGGACAGACTGCATGCATGTCTACTTCATTCTATTTCATGTCATGCTCCCCTATATTCTACTGACTAGTCATATTAGGAAGGGGTGTTCTTTTTAATATAGGACTGTTGCTCTCTTATGTATTAAAAAATAAATCATTTGAGATGGAGCTCCTTCCAATTCCCTCCCGTACACACCTTCTATGTCCTGCCAAAAGATCAGATTGTTTGGGCTTTTGTTCATTTTAAGGTCCTGTGACCAAAAATTAAAACAAACTATGACAGCTCTGCTCTATGAATGCCACGTGCCTAGTGCCTCTTGGAGCCCACGCTGAAATGAACGTAGAGGGCAGTGGCCAATACCTAAGCAATGGGGCAGGGTGCCCACAGTAGTCTTAAGTAGCTAGTGGGAGTTTAGTAGATCCCATCCTGACCACTTCATGAACCATATCATTGGTGAACTCCCCACAGTAAGGTGGGGATGTGTGGAGTTGTATCATGTCTCTTAAATACAGTTATCATGGTAATTCTTAATTTTTGCAAACCTCAACCTCACATCTTGTTTCCACAGAACAAAGTGATTACCTGGATTGTGCATCAGTTGCAAGGGCGGCTATATGGGTGCAGGAAAAGATACTGCTGTTGTAGTATCCTCACTACATATAGGCTCACATGCATTCTGTATTACATTTTGTCTTCAATGAAAATAGTATAATTGTAGGAGCTCTATGGAGCAGTATATTCATTCATCAAAGATAACTTGGGCTTTAGTGATCAAGTTACTCCAAAGGTAAAGAATGATTGTTAATTTCAGTTTTGCACTTTTTCTTGAATGCTCCTCAGCCCCACAGTGAATACCACTCTGCGGAACCTGGGTGCATTATACAGGCGTCAGGGTAAACTGGAGGCTGCAGAAACTTTAGAAGAGTGTGCACTACGTTCCAGGAGACAGGTAAAGCCAATTGTGACTCAGAAAACATGCTGGCATTGTGCAAAATGGAGAACAGGTAGTCTTCCAAATAAAAGTTATTTTATCCTCAACTTAATAGAAATTCCAAATAAAAGAAAAGTTGCATTTATATGTATACTCTTGAAACAAACGTGGAAATTAGATTAGCCTTAATTGTAGCCACCTTTCAGAGCAGCTGAAAACCATTTTTTCCAAGGAGCACTTGGGGCTTGGGGCCTGCTTTTTTGGATTGATTTTTCTGATAATTCTTTTGTGAATGAAAAAAAAATTATTGAATCTTAGATATTTTATTTGTTTGTTTGTATTCTTATGAAATGTCTTGTGGGAATCTAGCAGGGAGGGAGGGAGAAGGAAGGAGGGAGGGGGGAAGGAAGGAAGGAAGGAAGGAAGGAAGGAAGGAAGGAAGGAAGGAAGGCTAAATAATTCAGATTTGAATGGTATCTTGAAAACATTTTGAAAGATACTGAAGTGCTGGTGAAATTGTCACTGTAAAATGCTATTAGAGATTTCCTTGGTAATGACAGCAATGGTATAGTTAAATGTAGTTAGTGTGATTAACTTTGCTTAACTTTGTGCAATTCTTCTCTTTAGTCAGCAAAAATCACAGAGCAGACAGAGTTGTCTGCTCAGTTTTGTTGTTGTAAGATATAGCCTGCTAACTAGTTTATGCTAACATTGACAGAAGCCTTCTTTCTCTCCAAACTTTAAGCAATTTATAATAAATAAGAATAAAAAGTAAAACAAGAATAGCATAAAACACCACAAAATAGGGAATCTTCTAACTCTCATAAACCTAAAAACTGCAGGACAATTAAGAACTTCAAAATAAAACTCTAAGGTCCTTAGCTCCAAATGCCTAGCAAAATAAGACATCTCTCTATGGTATGAAGAGTCTTGTTGATGCTGTAATGTTATTCTGCTGCAGCTGGTTAGAAACTATTCTTCTTCTTGATGGTTATTTCTATATTTTCAGGATATCAGCTAACCTCAATAGATTCCAAGGGGGATTTTCTGAAATAGAATTCTTAATGTGCAAAAAACAGTATTTTCCATTTTTATTTTTTCAAAGCAAACTCTAATTTTTTAAAGCAAATTTCTACACACTGAAGTGATTACCACAATTTCCACACATTAAATTACTCAATGGATTAAATAGGCTTAGTAAGCACAAATATGTACAAGCTTCACATATAGCCCAAAACTGCCCTTTTTCTTTTTGCTTCATTTTTTTTTCTCTACATGGGAAAAGAAACCTCTGTTAACCCACAATTACCTGCTAATAACTTCCAAAACAAGCCAGGAATCAAGTTAATTTTAAACCATATTTTCCAGTATCCCTTTTTTAGAAGCTATTATTATTTCTCAGTTTTGGATATAACAGTAAGTAATGACAACTACAGCTTCTAGTTCACTTTCTTTAAAAAGCAAATGTTAGAACAAGATTGAAGCAGCTATGCGCAAGTGCCTATAACCTGGATGTACTTTAATCCTTCCTTGTTAAATCGGGATTTAATTCAGCAACATTTCCTTAAAGAATAGTAGCCTTTGTTTTGCTGCATAATATTCAATAATCCAGAATGAACTTTCTCTCTTTTTTATTTCCATTCAATCATGTCCAGTTCTCAATGACTGTCTGTACAAGTCCCTGTAGTTTTCTTGGCAAAGTTTTTTTTAGAAGTAGTTTGTCACTGCCTCCTCCCTCACACTAAGAGAAAGTGACTAGCCATACTCACCCAGCTGGTTTGTGCCCGAGGCCAAAACTAGAACTCTTCTGATCTTCTGATTTCTAGTCTTATGTCTTAACCATTACACCAAATTGGCTCTCTTTTTTCTCTTGGAACTCTCAAAAAATCTTCTTTGTCTTCTTACCAAAATCATGTCCATGTCTTATTATTCTTTTTCCCTTTCAGGGTATTGACCCCATTAACCAGACTACAGTGGTGGAAATTCTCAAAGAGGGTGATGGCTCTGAGAGGAGGAGGAGCCGAGACAGCCTGGGGGGCAGCATCAAATACGAGAATACCACAGATGGTAATGAGGAAGTGAGTATGGGCGTGGAATGGAATGGGGTAAGTACAAGTCCACCATCAAGAGCCACCTAATCCAGCCAAGAGAGAGAGGGGGCAGTAACTCCCTGAATTCTGTGCTTCTTTGCTGCCCCCTGGCATCTCAGGGAGCTGATAGCCTGTCGTGGCATGCCCATCTTCATTCATTCTTCTGCATGATCTCTGCCCATTCCTCTTATTGCCACTTAGGTAGAATCAGGAAAAATCCTGCCTAGTTTCTCTGTGTTTTTTTCCAATCATTCAGAATTGCTGAGTATGTAGAAGAAGATGATGAAAATGAAAAAACAAAAAGCAACTAATCTTAGGCACTTTGATCTTCTGCACTATGGTTTCATAGTAGGGAATGGGGAGGGAAAGTGGAAAAATTGAAAGAGATAACTTTACTGTCAGAGAAAGTACTTACAGTTTGGCCTGGATTACAGATAGAGCGATACTTTAAGAAACTGGTTCAGGGGTAGGGACAGCAGTATTTGTAGATGTGTGCATGAATGGTTGAAAGGGTGGAATGAATGGGTCAAACTTTATTTTTTTTCCAAAATAGCAAAAGGCTACCCATATCTTATTCATATACTTATTGATACATAAGCTATACACATGGAGAAACACTCTTCTGCATTTGTTACAGGAGAACACGTGCTAAAGTAGATGTCACTATCCTCTACCCTTCTTCTTTGCTGCCCTTTCTAGCGTCATGATTAGCTTGTTTCACTAGAGCAAAATGTTGCAAAACTGAGTAAGGAAGACCATTGAGCTGGCTCAGAATATATCACAAAACATTTTCAGTCCTTGAAAAATGGTTGTCTCACTTCCAGTATTGCAACATTACATCCAGTTCATAAATGATAAAGCCAGTTTTTAATTTAAAAAAAATCAATCTGTGTAAAACTAGTTTTTTAATGAAAAACAACTAAATTTGTTTATTATTTTTCTCTCCCCCAAAATTTGTTCTGTCCTTTAAATACAGAGATCGATATTTTGATTAACATTTTGGAACCAAAAACCTAAGTTGGGAGGAAAAATACCATGTATTACCACCTTTGATATATCTGTTTTCTCTAAGCTTTATTTTAAAATAGATTGAGCAGCAAATAATTTGGTCTCAATTAATGGTTGTGGGAGGGTATGGACCATTCATTATTTCTGTGCTTTGGTCATACTAACAAACACTTGCTTGATTGCTCTTTAACTCTTCACACTCTACTGATCCCTTATCTGCATGTGCTTCTCCATTCCCCATCTATCATAAACAAATTGCCATGACAGCCAATCAGCATCTAGGTGTCTTGCTGTCTTGATTGTGGATTGTACCCAGAAGGAATACATTAAAAAAAACTTACTTGAAAGAAAACCTGAGCCTCCTAGAATTATGCAAAATAGCAATACATGACATTTGAAGGGTACTTTCCAATTAGAATTAAAAGCTATGTGATATACAATATCCAACTGAATAAACCACTTCCAGTTTTTCCCTTATTCTAGGATCTTGGAAAAACATTTTAAATGCAGGTATATAATAGTTTCTTCTTTCAATTCAGTTTTCTGACAAATAGTGTGAGGAAATGGATGAATTCTAAATATGACAGATAAATAAAATAAAAAATAGAAAGTACATGACAATAACATAAGTACTTGTAAGGCCATAGCTTTTAGTACTTCTCTTCAAAGAACCAGTATTTTATTTGTCCCAGAATATACAAAATATACCATTTGTATATAATATATGCATAACAGTTTTGAACCACTCTCTTCCTTAAATGTTACATTCCTTGAATCTTTGATTAGTGTCCCTTATCTGCCTTAATTAGTGTCATTCATCTTAGTTATTCTATGCTTTAATAAAGAACGATTATCTGCATCCATCTTGTATAGTTTGCTTTTTCCAGGATTTAGGGTGGACTAAATGAAAAAAGCAAGTAATTTCAGATGGCAATTTCCTTTTTATTTCAATGGTTGTAGTATCCAAACTACATCCCATGTTTTTGGTCACTTTGTTTGCTGCAGAGGCAAATAAAGTGGATTCTTGTTCCAGGAATCCTCCTCCATTTGAAAGCATATTGTTTAGATGAATGCTAGAATATTAGTCAAATAGAAGGGTGGCAGCATCTTATGAAAGTTATCTATGCTACCTTATGGCCTGCAACATCTAAAAAGAAATAATGATGATGATGATGATGATGATGATGATGATGATGATGATGATGATGATGATACTACCAGACTATCCCATCTCCTTTACATGGATGATCTGAAGCTGTATGGAAAAACATCATCTGAAATAGAATCGCTGCTCAACACTGTCCGTATATATAGCCAAGATATTGTTATGGAATTTGGCTTGGACAAATGTGCCACACTTACTATAAAACAAGGAAAAGTAGTGTGAAGGAATCAAGATGCCCAACGAAAATAACATTAAGAGTCTGGATGAGGAAGATTACTACAAATACTTGGGTATCCTTCAAGCTGACAACATCAAGCACACTGAAGTCAAGAAAAAGATTAGAGGTGAATACATCAACAGAGTGAAGAAGATCTTAAAGTCCAAACTCAATGGAGGAAATACCATAAAGGCAATCAACACCTGGGCAATTCCAGTCATTAGGTACACAGCTGGAATAGTGGACTGGACTCAAGCAGAACTAAAAGCAATGGATAGACAGACAGAAAAATAATGACAATGAATCATGCTCTTCATCCACGCAGTGACATTGATAGACTTTATCTACCAAGGCAAATAGGTGGGCGTGGAATGCAACAAGTACATCAGATGGTTGAAGAAGAAAAAATGGCTTTGGAAGAATATCTGAAGAACAATGATGAAGATGCACTGAAATTAGTATATCAGGAAGCTTACTGACTACTGGAGAGACCAAACTGGCCTACAAGAAAGACCAAATGAAGAACAGAATAGAGGCATGGGAAGACAAAGCACTACATGGCCAGTACATTAAAAAAAATAGCTGGGAAAGCAGATAATAACAAGACCTGGCAATGGCTAAGAGGAGGAAAATTGAAGAAAGAGACCGAGGGACTAATTCTGGCTGCACAAGACCAAGCCTTAAAGACAAATGCATATAAAGTCAAAATTGAGAAGACAGCAACAGACAGTAAGTGCCGCCTATGCAAAGAAGCTGAAGAAACAGTGGACCACTTGGTAAGCTGTTGCAAGAAGATTGCACAGACTGACTACAAGCAGCGGCATGACAAAGCAGCAACAATGGTGCATTGGAAGATCTGCAAAAAATATCATTTGCCTATAAGCAAAAACTGGTGGGATCATAAAATAGAGAAAGTCATAGAAAATGATAAAATTAAACTGCTCTGGGACTTCAGAATTCAAACAGACAAGCACCTGCAACATAACACTCCAGACTTAACAGTTGTCAATAAGAAAGACAAAAAAGTCTGGATAGTGGATGTGGCAGTGCCTGGAGACAGAATAGACGAGAAAGAACTGGAGAAGATAACAAAATACAAAGACCTACAAATAGAAATAGAAAGACTGTGGCAAAAGCAAGCAAGGGTAGTACCAATAGTAATAGGCTCCTTGGGTGCAATCCCAAAACAACTGGAGCACCACTTGAACACCATTGGCATTGACAAATTCGCTATTAGTCAATTGCAAAAGGCGGCCTTACTAAGAACTGCTTCCATCCTGCGATGATATCTGTAATACCATCAAACATCCACATCTGCCTATCCCAGGTCCTGGGTAAGGACTCAATAGGTAGACAAAATGCCAAATCCAGTCTGAACATCTGGCTGACTGTGCGATGATCCATAATAATAATAATATAATAATAATAATAAAATAATAATAATAATGATGAATCATGTTATTATAACAATGAATCATGCCCTTCATCCACGCAGTGACATTGATAGACTTTATCTACCAAGGCAAATAGGTGGGCGTGGAATGCTACAAGTACATCAGATGGTTGAAGAAGAAAAAATGGCTTTGGAAGAATATCTGAAGAACAATGATGAAGATGCACTGAAATTAGTATATCAGGAAGGCTTACTAACTACTGGAGAGACCAAACTGGCCTACAAGAAAGACCAAATGAAGAACAGAATAGAGGCATGGGAAGACAAAGCACTACATGGCCAATACATGAAAAAAATAGCTGGGAAAGCAGATAATAATAAAACCTGGCAATGGCTAAGAGCAGGAAAATTGAAGAAAGAGACCGAGGGACTAATTCTGGCTGCACAAGACCAAGCCTTAAGGACAAATGCATACAAAGTCAAAATTGAGAAGACAGCAACAGACAGTAAGTGCCGCCTATGCAAAGAAGCTGAAGAAACAGTGGACCACTTGGTAAGCTGTTGCAAGAAGATTGCACAGACTGATTACAAGCAGCGGCATGACAAAGTAGCAACAATGGTGCATTGGAAGATCTGCAAAAAATATCATTTGCCTGTAAGCAAAAACTGGTGGGATCATAAAATAGAGAAAGTCATAGAAAATGATAAAATTAAACTGCTCTGGGACTTCAGAATTCAAACAGACAAGCACCTGCAACATAACACCCCAGACTTAACAATTGTCGATAAGAAAGACAAAAAAGTCTGGATAGTGGACGTGGCAGTGCCTGGAGATAGCAGAATAGAAGAGAAAGAACTGGAGAAGATAACAAAATACAAAGACCTACAAATAGAAATAGAAAGACTGTGGCAAAAGCAAGCAAGGGTAGTACCAATAGTCATAGGCTCCTTGGGTGCAATCCCAAAACAACTGGAGCACCACTTGAACACCATTGGCATTGACAAATTCGCTATTAGTCAATTGCAAAAGGCGGCCTTATTAGGAACTGCTTCCATCCTGCGACGATATCTGTAATACCATCAAACATCCACATCTACCTATCCCAGGTCCTGGGTAAGGACTCGATAGGTAGACAAAATGCCAAATCCAGTCTGAACATCTGGCTGACTGTGCGATGATCGATAATAATAATAATAATAATAATGGTCAGTCAGCCAGATGTTCAGACTGGATTTGGCATTTTGTCTACCTATCGAGTCCTTACCCAGGACCTGGGATAGGCAGATGTGGATGTTTGATGGTATTATAGATATCGTGGCAGGATGGAAGCAGTTCCTAGTAAGGCCGCCTTTTGCAATTGACTAATAGCGAATTTGTCAATGCCAATGGTGTTCAAGTGGTGCTCCAGTTGTTTTGGGATTGCACCCAAGGAGCCTATGACTATTGGTACTACCCTTGCTTGCTTTTGCCACAGTCTTTCTATTTCTATTTGTAGGTCTTTGTATTTTTCTTCTTCTTCTTCTTCTTCTTCTTCTTCTTCTTCTTCTTCTTCTTCTTCTTCTCCTCCTCCTCCTCCTCCTCCTCTTCTTCTTCTTCTTCTTCTTCTTCTCTTCTTCTTCTTCTTCTTCTTCTTCTTCTTCTTCTTCTTCTTCTTCTTCTTCTTCTTCTTCTTCTTCTTATTATTATTATTATTATTATTATTATTATTATTAAAAAGTTGGGAGGGTCCTTGGAAGTCTTCTAGTCCAATTCCCTGCCTTAGGCAGGAAACCCTATACCATTTTAGACAAATGGTTGTCCAGTCTCTTCTTAAAACTTCCAGTGTTGGAGCATTCGCAACTTCTGGTGGCAGGTTTTTCCACTGATTAATTGTTTTAATGTCAGGAAGTTTCTCCTTAGTTCTAGGTTGCTTCTCTCCTTGATTAATTTCCATCCATTGCTTCCTGTCCTGCCTTCAGTGCTTTGGAGAATAGCTTGACTCCCTGTTCTTTGTGGCAACCCCTGAGATATTGGAACACTGCTATCATGTCACCCCTAGTCCTTCTCTTCATTAAACTAGATATACCCAATTCCAGCAACTGTTCCTTATATATTTTAGCCTCCAATCGTCTGACCATCTTTGTTGCTTTTCTCTGTACTCCTTCTAAAGTCTCAACATCTTTTTACAATGTGGTGACCAAAACTAGTTGTGTATTCCAAGTGTGGCCTTACCAAGGCATTGTAAAGTGGTATTAGCACTTCATGTGATCTTGATTTTATCCCTCTGTTAATGCAGCCTAGCACTGTGTTGGCCTTTTTGGTAGCTGCAGTACAGGGCTGGTTCATATTTAAGTGATTATCCACTAGGACTCTGAGATCCCTCTCAGTTACTACTATTGAGCAAGGTACCACCTATACTGTACCTGTGCATTTGGTTTTTCTTGCCTAAATGTAGAACCTTACTTTTTTCACCATTGAATTTCATTTTGTTAGATAGTGCCCAATGTTCAAGTCTGTCAAGATCCTTCTGTATCTTAAGCCTATCTTTTGGAGTGTTGGCTATTCTTGCCAGCTTGGTATCATGAGTTCCCCATCATTGATGAAGATGTGTAAGAGCACTGGGCCCAAAACAGAGCCCTGGGGCACTCCACTGCACACTTCCCTCCATGTAGATGCAGTTCCATTGAAGACCACATGCTGAGTATGGCCGGTCAGCTAGCTACAAATCCATCTGGCGGTGATGCTATCTAACCCACATTTTTCTATCTTATCAAGTAGTAGGTTCTGGTCTACTTTATCAGATACCTTACTGAAGTCCAAGTAAATTATATCCACAGCATTCCTCTGCTCCACTAATTTTGTCACCTTGTCAAAGAATGCAATAAGATTTGTCTGGCATAATCTGTTTTTGACAAATCCATGTTGGCTTTTGGTTATGACTTTGTTTGCTTCTGGGTGTTCACTGATTCATTGCTTGATTATCTTTTCTTATCCATACAATACATAAATATGAGCTTAAACTGTCCTCAGACTCTCCCAAGTCTTCAAGAAGAATTTTAAAAGTTCCTTCTATGTATTTGCCATATATCTGCTTTTAATCCAATTATATTCAAACCATGTTTAGGAAACCTGGTTTGTTTGGGGTTGGTTTTTTGTTTTTTTTTTGAAAGCTTACCAAGATTTTTCACAGAGATGCGAAAACTGTCACTCTTTCCAGTAGTCTCTAAAATTCATTTCTTATAATCACAGTTTTAACTGGAATGGCAAAATGCTGAGATCCTATAGCACTGCCCAGTAAATTGAGTATTTCCCAGAATGTTCAGCATTAGGAAATGTTATAGTGTAGTCATGAGTCAGAGTAGAAAAACAGCTTTCTATCATTACAGCTCAGTACAACTTTCATTATAGGAATTCTTAAACCCTGACTTAATTTTCCCATAAGTTTGTGATATTTAAAGTATAAAGACATTAGTTTGAACCTCAGGCTATAGGTTTGAATGTAATCTTTATTTCTCACTTGTTTGTCTTGTCTCTTCCTTGTACAGTTAGATCTACACTCATGAAGCTCTTATATTGGCATCTTATTCTCTTTTCCTAGCTGCTTTAAACTTCACTGACATTCTCAGATTTAAAAAATCCCCAGCTAAAACTGTTGAATCCTCCAAACCCTTGCCTACATTTTCCAACAGCCTCAGAAGAAGATTTTAATGCATGAAAGTGTAGGGCCCAACTCCCAATGTATTCAGTAAAATATTCTTAAGATAGCTGAAATCTGGAACCCAGATAGCTATGAGCTTGGTAAAACACCATAACAATTTAATATTATCCATTTCATGTATGTAAAAAGCTCCTTTTTCCCTACTCTGACAGCTTACCCCACATGAAAGATCCTATTATGCTTAATTAAGTTGACATTTGCCAAGAAGCAAACTGTTATGTACTACTGCCAGTTTACCATCTCCAGCTTCATTCTGTTAATGAATACTTGTTATTCAATTTTTTTTTCCTGTTTGCTTTGTTTGGGAGTAGGATGCTCTTTCAGGAAGAAGAAAGCAAGTCTCACAACCTACAAATTGGCTCACTGTGGTTAGGAGAAAGGTTCTGTTTGTATTGCTAAAGTTATCTGCTAAATTTATACATTTTATGTATAAATATATACATAAAAATAAGGAGAATGTGAAGGAGGGAAAGAAAACATTCTGTGATCTTAACCATTAAACATTTATGTTAATAACCAGCTTTTCATGTGCTGCATTTTCCCAGTTTTCATGTACGTTTGAATCAAAATCTTAGCAAACAGTGGTTTCTCAGGACCTTGGATTGGAACTGCAACAGTGGGAAATAATTGTCTCCCAGTAACTGTTCTGGAAGATTATTTTTATTTAGGAAATAATTCCAAAGAAAAAATGTTAATTAACATTCTTCTCCTGTGCTGTATTTTCATTTTGAATATGGGAATCCATCCAACTCATATTTCACTAGCATTTTAAGGTGATCTCAATCTGGATTGTACTATTTTTGAGAACTAACGTAAGGCATACTCTACACATGAATCAAGACTATGTAGGTTGTTGGTATAAAGGGATCTTCTTTTCATTCCTCTGCATGGTTTTTCTCTTTCTCCTAGCATTTGAAAGTCTAATTCTATCACTTTTGGTAGAATTTTTGTTGTCTGAAACAGCATCATGCTTTTTCATAATGCTGCTTGTGTAGAGTATGCCTGGGGTTTTTTTCCTAGCTTGAATACAATTTTTTTTATGCCAAATTATCCATCTTAGTTGTTGAGATTGTGAAGACGGGTTCTTTTCTGAGAAATACATTTTATCCTTTTATTATTTGCCACTAATTGTCTTTCTTTTCTACCTGTTCCACACCTTATTAGATTGGTTGACGGGACCATGGAATAAATGAGCCTTCCCTTACATGGCCATGCTGTGCATTGGACCTTTTAATTAAATAGGTCTAATTCTTTCCCCAAAATTGTGCTGGTCAAATAGTTGGTGTTTCTACCCAAAAGCATGACTAAGCAAAGTTTGTATTTTGAAATTTTCAAAGCATTTTTCACATTAGCTAAAGGGATTTGTAAATCCTCTGTTAAGATCTCCTATATGACTTTCTACCCTGCCATAATTCTTTGACTTCCTTGTCTATACTGTTAACATATAGCTCTATTCCCTTGCTGTCACTCTTCAGGATACTATGCGTCCTCACCATGGCCTTGTACATTGTGTCTTTCTCCTCTCTGTGCACTAGGCTTAAATGCCTCCTGAGGCTTGTCCCCCCTCCCTTTCAACACAATCACCTGGATGCTTGTGCAGCTTCTTTCAACTTTTTCTTCCAAATCATTCCCCTCCTTCCACTGTTCCTGCTTTCCTCGGCAAGGAGTCCACACCTGTCCCCAACCAACCTTCCATCCAAAGTGAGCACCAAGGAACACAGCAGAGGAACACTGGCTGCACACGGCTCTACTACAGCAACAATCAGCAAGAGAACAGGAAGAAACTCTACAAGGTTGCCTCTCTCCACTTCCTTTGTCTGCCAGAACAGGACTTTTCCAGGATTCCCTGTGGCTTCCTTTGTTCTCTTTCCTGTACCTTAACCAGTGGGGAAGAGGTTGATGTTTGAGAATGACTTGTTCCCTACTCTGGTGACACTACATTCGCAATTGCCCATCTTCCTATTCCTTGCCTTCCCATTTTGCTGCCTTCATTTGAACAATATGCCCCTTCCTGATCTTTCATGCTGCTTCCTTTTTCTTTCTCTTGCTTCCATGGCATAAAGTACAGAATTAAGAGATAGAAACAAACAGCCTAATATCTTTTCCCCAACTCCCATCTTTAAATTATACACAAGGACAAATGGGCTGAATAAATCATGCTCTTAACTGATGGCAAAATGTTTTGAATGCCCACTGCTGATATTATACGAGCCTGGTTTCCACCTTAAGCAGTATTTTAAACCAGAGATCCATAAAGAAAGATAGAGAAACAGCTCATCTGTATCCTCTAGTATCTGAGGCCCTTTAGCTTCAAGATATAAAGGGATTAGAGACAAAAGCTTGAGCTGTGCCTTCTCTCTAAAGTCTTGCTTTCACAGAAATGAAAATAGGCATTAGAAACAGCAGAAGGTGGCATTCAGAGAGCTAACGTTAAGTCTTTGACTGATTAATCCCAGTTTGCACTTGCTTTGCCTGTTACACTTCAGAATGCTAGCATTTCACAAGAAAATGCTTCTCTAATATGACAACCTTGGGAATATTTTTCTCCCACAGTTCCTCTCTCATAGAAGGAATAGTAATTGCTGAAAAAGATGGCCAGACTGCCACTGTTTCCTTACTATTCTGCCCACAGAGCAAGAGGGGTGGGATAGTTGATGGAGTTTCATCTCCAAATTTATTGTCATTAATGTAAATTTTTAACAATGCATTGCATGTGTGGTCCCAGCCAAATGCTACAAAGCAAGCACATAGAAGATTGGTGTGTTAAATGGTAACGTGGCACTATTAGCTACTGCTTATTTAGAAGCATGTCAAGTGAGCAGAAAAGAAAGTAGGAATTTGCACGCCCTGTAAGAGAATGATGAAGGAAGGAGTCTTGCATGCAAGAACAAGGAGCAGAGACAATAGAAGGCAGAAGTTTTAAAGTGGGAATAAGTTGAGCTCTGGAGGAATTTCACAGAGTAAGAAAGGCTCTAGTAGAAATGGATTTTCAGTAGACAGTGCCTTCCTGTTTGCATTTTCTTAAAAATAAATTCAACTACATTTAATCCTGTTTCCTCCCACATGCCTAGGATTACCACCCTGGTAGAAGTTGTCTTTGAATGGATGAGCATGTTGCCATATAGTGAGTTGAGATAGGGGTACTGGGCAGGAAAAAAAAAAGGCTGATTCCCTCAGGAATTAGGCTACAATATTTTTATAGGGTGGGGATATGACTCCCAACATTCAGACAGGATACACTGACCTAAAATTATTGAGAAAAGGAGAAAAAACTGATGATATTCTAATCCGAACAAAGCAGTAACGTGTTCTATATAGCAAAATAGGAAAGCAAATCTGGGGCTATATTGAAAGAAGCCTTCTCTTTCACCCAGAGAAAACTAGATGTTAAAATATTTAGGCTAGGAATCTAGTTTCTAAGATAGTTTATTATTTACATTAGTGCTAAATATGTGGTGTTTTTTTTTTCCATTTCTAAGGGATAGCCTGATGCTTTAATCCATTTCCAGGGCAAGCATATCTGAGAGAAAACTTTTTTCAGCCTATCTGCTGATCATAGTTTTAGGCTGTGTGCATGTGATAGGGGAGGGGGTTAATGTAGGTTAATATCTTTGTGAATATAGCTGGTTTCTAAAAGTAAGAAAATATTAGCTAAGTTTACAAATTAGGCTAGGCATTAGATAAGACAGTTTTTGAAGCTATGAGTGGAACTGAATGGAACTGAATAATAAAAGTATGGCATGATTATTTTGTATGGCTTTTTGAAGTACCCATGCCTGCCTCCTGCTGAAGGAGCAAGAAACCAGATCATTAATTCAATCAACCAGGAGGGTTGTACTCAGGTGGAATTTTGCCACAGGGCAATTTGAAATTTTTTTAATGTAGCTCCTTTTGGAAGTCTTGTGCAGCTGTGGTAAACCTTTGCTTTTGGCTATGTGCTTCAGGAAAGGACGTTCAAGTATACCTGAATCAGGGCAGCTTCTGTCTTACCCTGTGGTTGAGGTGGGCAATATTTGTGATCTCTTGCTAAAAATCCTCCTCTACTTTCACTGGCTGTTATGACTCTGCCTTGCCCAAGAAGGTGTCTGATGTTCCAATGAAGAAGCCCCTGGAGGTGAACCCACATGCTGTTCTTGCATCTTCCTCATAAAATGCGACCAGCTCTCATTCCCGCTCGACTTTCTGTGTTGCAATGGGCTATCTACAAGTCTTTTTATCGCACTGTCTAGCGGGGCTGAAATTCTGTGTTCTACTCTCTGTCTTTGAGACCTACACGGTACTTTCCTTGTCACTGTGTACTCATTTACCTCTGATTAAAGGCAGAAGGACTTGAACCTTTGCTTCCTTGTGCCTCTTTTCCATATGCTGTCTATGTTTTTTAAAAGAAAACAATATATTTTCATCAAACACAAATACAGTATTTACATTACTATATACCACAAATAATCTGGCTGTCTTCCTTTTTTGCTCACTAGAGAGATCAGAAAACAGGTGTGCAGATGTGTTTGTATTTAAAATATGAATGCTTTGTATGGAAATGGCGCAGAGAGATGAACCTCCCTTAGAAGAGAGTCATTACTTATATAAAGTAGTCTTGAATTTAATAACTCTGTAAAACTGAAAAGAAAAGCAGAAATTTTAAAAAGATGTGTTTTTTGAAAGCTGTATCTGTGCAGGATGTTTTTAGGGTCTGAGATTCTAGTCTTCTAGGAGAAAATGCTGCTGAACAGAACTTCAAGAGACAATAACACAAATCACATCCCCTTTTCTACATATCCATCTTGCCTCCCTGAAGTGCAGACATGTCGGACTTTGAGTTCTCAGATACTTAGATAATCTGTGATTCTGCTTGCTGCGTTTTATGGGAGTTTATATCCAATACATTTGGAGAGTATCAGATTTAGGAAGTTGATTATATTGTATCCCCAAACTTATAGAACTTCTTGTTCTGCTTCTTTCCACAGCAAACAAAATTCACCTAATCTTTATAATTAAGAGATCTGTATGTAAAAGACAGATACATCTTTTTCTTGCAAAATGTCTGATTTCTTCTAAAACGTAAACTACAGTTTTCTATAAACCTGAAATGTGTTGCGGTCAAGTTAAACACAAATGTTGGAAAACTAGAGCAAGTAGATGAAGTTTTACACTTTGTTATAATTGTTATTAAAAATGGGACAATAAGTGAATAAATTTTAAGACATGTGAATACATTTAAAAGAGTAGTAGGTAGCGTGTAGTCTGTTGCAAGGAATGAAGGTTTGCTGAAAAAAGCAAAAACAATTGCAAATAACATAACTTCATTATGTGGAAGTGAATTAGCTATGTTAGGAGAAACCTATGAGTTGAATATAGTGGAGACAGCTTTACAACATGGGTGCTGTAAAACAAGAAAAACTTCAGTCTATGAATGCTGAATGAAAGTGGATTCACTTTCTCAACAGTGAAAAACCAGTATGAAAGTAGTATGTTGAGATGGTTCAGTCGTTCACATGGATAATGAGTACTGAGTTACAAATGAAATATATGAAGGAAGTGAACCAAGAGAAAAGGGTAGTCCGAGGAATTAGTGATTTTATGGTGTTGATAATTTTTTTTAAGTGCCACCCAACTCCAGAATGATTCTGAGATCCTGAAAAAGAGGGAGATGAGAATTTTAATGAATAAAAGGTAGTACAGGAATTGGTATATTAATGTGATGGAAGAAGGATAGTTTGCAAAGATGGGAACAGTATGGAAAAGCATAGTAGATAACTGTTTCTATAAACAAGTTTGAATTGTGTTTCATTTTCAAATGTTTTTTCCTTTGGCATCCTATTTCTTAACTCCTTTTTTTTTGCACTCTACACAATACAGGTAGTCCTCAGGTTATAACAATTGAGCCCAATATTTCTGTTGCTACGTGAGACATTTGTTAAGTGTGTTTTGCCCTATTTTATGACCCTTCTTGCCACAGTTAAGTGAATCACTGCAGTTGTTAAGTTAGCCACAGGGTTGTTAAGCAAATCTGGTTCCCCATTAACTTTGCTTGTCAGAAGTGTGCAAAAGATGATCACATGACCCCGGGACACTGCAACCGTCATAAACATGAGTCAGTTACCAAGCATTTGAATTATGATCATGTGACCATGAGGATGCTGCAATAGTCATAAATGTGAAAAACTGTCATAAGTCACTTTTTCCAGTGCCGTTGTAACCTTGAATGGTTATTAAACAAACTGTTGTAAGTCAAGAACTATCTGTATTGCTTACTCTAAAAGGAATAGGGTGATTGGTTTGTATGATGTACATATGTGTGCATACTTAGTTATTAAATGGTAACTATAGCGGTCACCAGTAGAAATAATATAACTATGTTAAGATTCATTGTAGCAGTCTGTTGTAGTAAATTTCAAGCAATCACCTAATTGTATGAGAGGAATTTTAAGCATTCATCTAATGGTATCAAGCAAGGAGAGGAATTTATCATGCGTTTGCAGTCACTTAAGTGAGCCTTCTTTGGTGGATTGCTTCATGGAATATACTATCATAATCACCAACATATTTGGCAATTTTGATTGAGGATTTGGGATATGTAGTAACACATCTGAAGAATATTAAGTTGGGAAGCTTGTCCTTGACCTATTTTGTGTGAACCACAGCTTTTAATTTGCCAGTGTGCTTCAGAACTGATCTACATCTTATTTTAGGAATATAATAGCTATATAACAACAGGTTGCCTTTGCCTTTACTTCCACAATCACTTTAGACCACAAGTCACTGCAGTTCTACCAGAGTTGCTAAAAATATTCAAAACCACAATTGTATTTTTATCAAGCAATACACATCACTACCTAGGGTCACATATATAATCTTTGTGTGATGATTAGTGTTGGAAACAAGCTGACAGGATCAAAACACAGATGCTATTTTCTATGACCGTTTCCTTCACAGTCTTATTTCAAAACAAGTAAGTTGCCTGTGAAAGCTGCACTTAGGTTAATTTTATTAAGAGAGTGGGCAAGGCTTCAGAAGTGTCTTACTCTGAATAAAGCATTTGTCCCATGCAGTAAAGCATCTCGCTTTTTCCTTAAGAGTCCTATTTGCTAAAATGTTTATGTCTACATATGTACAAACTGTACTGTCATTCTGATATATTAATAACACCATCTATTTCAACTGCGGAGGATGCAATCAGTCCAAATAAAAGTGAATCCTATTTTTTTTGTCCTACAACAAATACCCCCTTTCATTATCTGTTCTGTTGAATAAGTCTTGGTGTACATTTTTTTTGAGGGGTTCAAGGCAGTTTTTGACTCCTAGTAATTACATGTATTTTCAGCAGTGGTTTGCCATTGTGTTCTTCCTAGGACACAGAGAGACTGGTCCAAGGTCACCCAGCTGGATTTGTTCCTAAGGCAGACTAGAACTCACAATCTTTTGGTGTACCTAGCCTGATGCCTTAACCACTATACCAAACTGGCTTTCTATATTTATATGCATACTGGCAGCAAAATGAAAAAAAATATATTCCATGACAGGTAAAACAGTAAAGATAGTCTAAAAATGAACCTTGATTTATAGGGATCATATGAACACATTGTTATGTAGAAATCATTTTCTTAGCATCTTTTTTTTCTCTATGATGCCCCTTTGCAGCCCAAACAAAGGAGAACATTTAGAAATCAGTCTTTTGACACCTAGAGTCATTACTCAGACTATATCCCAGTGGTGGCGAACCTATGGCACGCGTGCCACAGGTGGCATGCAGAGCCCTTTCTGTGGGCACGCACACCATCGCCCCAGTCCTAGGCCTTCAGCTGGGTTTTATAAAATCTCCCGCGACTTCCGGTGGATTTTGCGCGTGCGATGGCGGCTACTTTGTAGCCGTCTCTCCTGGGTAAGTGTAAGAACCGCGATGAACAGCAGACACCAGCTGTTCAGCGGTTCAAAATCCCCCTCCCGGGCAAAGGGGGGGGGTAGAGAGTGTCTGAATAGTGGTAGAGCCTCTTTTGCACCCCCCAAGTTTTTTTTGGGGGGTGAAAGGAGTGCTCCCACGGAGTTCAGACTTGTCTCCGCTTCCCAGCTGTTTTTGTCCTCAGGGACAAAACGAGCCGTTGCAAACACCTCCGTGCTTAAAGAGAACTGGTGAGTTTTTTTTTATAAACGGACAGAGCTGAGTAGAGGATTTAGTTTTTGCTTTCTTTGATTTATTTGGATTTTAAGTTTTAAGACTTGCTTCTATTTTTATTCTCTCTTTTTATTTTTTTTTTCTTTGTTGAAAGGGAAAGTAAAATGGCGATCGGCAAATCTCTCGGTGTTTTTTTTTTTTGAAGTTAGAATGCTGACCGGCAGGCTTTTTGGTGTTTCTTTTTCTTTCCTTTCCCTTTCCCTTTTTATTTTCTTATGATTGGAATGGTTGTTTTTGGTATCTCTAAGTATTTTTTTTTTGGAACGGACTTTTTCTATTTAATTATTATTATTTTTTTTTTCTTCTCCCTTCTTTTTATTGTAATGACTCTTTTTTGAAGGACTTTTTTCTGTTTAATTTTTTGCAATTTTTAAGAAGGAGTAAAGCTTTTTTTAATTCTTTTTCTCTTCCTTTTTTTTTTCTTTTCCCTTTTTTCTTTTTATTATAATGACCTTCCTTGGAGGGAGTTATGATTTTTGAAGGAATTTTTATAATTTTTTAAGAAGGGCTAAAGGTTTTTCTTTAAGATGGCTCCAAAGCGTCCAGGGATTTCTACAGCTTCTAAATCAACAGTTTCACCCTCTTCTGGGGGTCAGCTAATAACTATGAAGGATTTGCAAAACATGATGGGAGATGTTATAATTCAAATTAGGGCAGAAATGAAAAAGATTTTAGAGGAAAATAATAAGATCTTGAGACAAGATTTTGTTTTGGCTTTAGAAGGAGTTGCTTCTGTTCTTGAAAAGGTGAACTCCCATGTGGAAGAGGTAGCTGAAAAAGTGGACATAATGGAGGGGAAAATTGAAAGTATGGAAAAAGAAATGGAAAATGAGATTCTTATGCTTCAATATGGACAAATGGAATATGCCTTAAGAATCAGAGGCCTGGAAGAGTCTTTGCAAGAAGATTTGAAAGAAATGGTTGCAAAGGACTTTGCATTGATTTTGAATAAAGAAAAAGAGGGAATACTTAGTGAAATTGAAAAATTATTTAGGGTTAACTCTGTGGTGGCAGCACAGAAGAATCTGCCAAGAGATGTGGTAATTTACTTTGGTAAAAGATCCTTACGCAATCAAATTGTGCAAGCCTATTATAAGAAGAGATTTCAAATTGCTTCACAAGATGTCATAATTTTTAAGGAGATCCCATCTAAAATTTTAAGAA